AATTGGTATCTGGGAATTTTCGTGATCGGAGATTTCGATTTTCTTGTTAAATTCTAAAATTCAAGATGGCGGCTTCAATATTGCGGACAAATTTTGTGTTTATGGAGAGATTTGATTCCAAATTAGAATCTGGGGGTTGTCAGGTTCGGAGACTATGATTTTCATGTCAAAATCGAAAAATTCAAGATGGCGGCATCAGAATAGTGTACAGGTTCTGAGAATATGGACCGATTCTATTCAAAATTTGTATTGAAAATCTATATCAGAATATAACGAGACGAAAGACTGAAGAACTTCAAAACGAAATATTCTGAAAAAAAAAACTTTCTATAAACCACGTTCATATTCAGATGCACAGAAAAAAGGAAATTGATTATTTCGGTAATACGGGACTGAAGAGTATTAGTGATAGCGTGGGGCGACAAGTAGCAATATATCTAGCGATGATTGAGCGCTCTACGCATTATCCATGTCCAGGAAAAAAATATTCCACCTTTTTTAGTGTAATCGAATATATGTGTGGTTTATTTAAACGTTTGTTTCGTGTAATATATTTTCATCCATAATCAATAACTTCTAACTAGAAGAGTACCAAGTTCACGTCAACCAGTTCGACAATTTCGAATTCGAATATTCCATGTACCTAATCGATATCTCTGGATAAAAATCCATTTGGAGAGATCTAGGACAGGATCTTATCAGATAATATCAATTTCTTCCCAGAACCGCATCACTCTACCAAAATTTCTGAATATGATTGATCTTCATCAATCGAATAAGTTCACGTCATTCGATTCGACAGTTCCCCAAATTTGAAATATTCATCTCTATCGGATCGAAAGATCGTTGATGAGTCAATTCAGACATGCATTGAAATCAATTTCTGAAATGTTTTTGAAGCCGAATTTGCTAAAATAGTTCTTCGATCAACACGAAGTTAATATCAACTTGTGATTTCGAATGAAACTATTCATATTTCGTATTATATTCAGATCACACTTTTCGTGGTAAAATCCACACAATATTTATAATGCTCAAAAACTTATTGGCTGAATATTCATACACCATATTGGATTTGGAATGACGTCACATAGTTCATCGTATTCTACTTTTCAAACCCTTTCATTTGATACCCATGTCGATGGGGTTGTGATGAAGAAGGTGAGTCGCCATCTTGGAGCGTCCGTCATATTGTATTCAGGAAAACATCACTAGGATTCTCACATTCCACTCGTCGAACCCTTCAATTTGATACCCATTTCGAAGAGGTTGTTAAAAAAGTTACTCCGCCATCTTGGAGCGTCCGCCATATGGGATTCTAACTATACAGGGTGCCCGTTTTTCGAGCTCCACCATGGGGATCTCAGTTATTATAAGAGATACGGAGTTGGTTGAATTAGGGCAAAGTTGTGCAATTTGATGCTGATCAAAATTCCGCTTCGAAAGTTTGGAATTTCCGAATACTTCCGATGATATTTGAAAAAAAAACAGAATATCCGCGATTTCGTTTTTATTTTTTTCCGACTTAATTTGAAGTGATAGTACAAAATGAGTGACATAGTAGCATTGCCACTTTTTCTGCTCTATCCAATAGCATTAATAGATTCGTGATCCGACGTTTCGTCTTCGAGAAGTCATCATCAACTCTGTATTTTCAAATGGTCGAAAAAATTTTTTCCAAAGAACTGTAATTCCGACTCTGAATCCAACGACATATAATACCTTACAATTATCTGACGTTTCGAACCAAAAAATCATCATCAGTATTATATGATGATGGTTACGAGGAAACGAAACGTCGGATCAAAAATCTGATGAAAGCAACTTGTAGAGAAGGAAAAATGGCTATGGAAATGTCAAATTCATTTTGGTCTATCTCTTTTAGTAAAATCAGAAATCTTTTCTTGGGATTAGAAACTTCGAGAATCACTTTTTATTGAAAACTGAAATAGAGATAGACCAACAAGTTGAATTCATCTTGGTCTCTCTATTTTAGTTTTCAACAGAAAGCGATTCTCGAAGTTTCTAATCCTATGAAATGATTTCTTTCTGATTTCACTGAAAGATATAGACCAAAATAAATTTGACATTTTCATAGCCGTTTTTCCTTCGCTACAAGTTGTCCTCATAACCATCATTGAATATAACTGATTTTTTGTTTCGAAACGTCAGATAATTTTGAAGTATTATATGTCGTTGGATTCAGAATCGGAATTAGAGTTCTTTGGGAACAAACATTTCCTTTTCGACCATTTGAAAATACAAAGTTGATGATGGCTCCTCGAAGACGAAACGTTGGATCATGAATCTATTGATGCCATTGGATAGAGCAGACAAAGTGGCAATGCTAATATGTCACTCATTTTGTACTATCACTCCGAATAAAGTCAGAAAAAAATAAAAACGAAATCGCGGATATTCGGTTTTTTCCAAATATCTTCGGAAGTATTCGAAATTTCGAATTTTTTGAATCGGCATTTTGATCAACATCAAATTGCGCAACTTTTCCTCGATTCAACCAACCTCGTATCTCTTATAATAACTGAGATCCCCATGGTGGAGCTCGAAAAACGGGCACCCTGTATATATATATACATCTATTGAATAATCAGAAAGAAAGCTTCATGTAGAATTGCAGCTCTATTGAGATACAGTGTTGTCAAATGTATGGTCGCAGCATCCATCAGACGATGAAAAATTAATATACATAATGTATATTTGATAGCGCCTCTGACGGCATTTGTGCTAAGTAAAAATATTCGATTCTCTTATACTTTTATTAATGCTGCGTCCGATTTTGATACCAAAAAATCATAATATCTTCCAAACGGCTAACAATAGAGCAACCATTTAAAGAGAATGGATTCCGCGTCCCATGATGGTAGTAATGAGGGACTCAGTACAACAATTCAATGCATTGGCGGGAAAATAACATGGATTGTAATCTTGCGTCCGATATACGGTCGCACTAACGCGATGGACGCAGGATTAAATGAAAATTGTCAATACATGGACGCAACATTGATAAGAGGATAAATATATATAAAACAATAAAAAAAAAACTAATTAACAAGTTATGTCAATATAACATAATAATTAAAATAAAACCATTCCAATTATTCAAATGAGAATAAATTGCTCCGTTTATTGTGTCATGAGTATATATTTTTTCATATTGACTTTGAATCTTGTTTCATCATCAATATGTTTCAAATCATAAGGTAATGAATTATATAAAATGATTCCGTTGTAGAATACTGATTGTTTGCCAATGATGGAGTTATATGGGTTTGCTATTAATGAATTCAACTGTCTCGTTGCATGAGTATGAATTGTATTTACTTCAGTAAAGTTCAAGTTGGATATTTTTATTTTTTTTCTCATAAAATGGATGAAAGAACAAATTTTCATTTTATATAAAGATGATAAATTCAACAGATTTTTTGGTTTGTAAAGATTAATTGTTGGTTCCAGGTGATGTAAATTGTAAATGCACTTAATTGTTTTATTTTGTAATTTCATTAATGGTTTCAAATGTGATATACTTGTGCTTCCCCAAATTGATATTAAATATTGTAATTTTGAGTAAATCAGACAGAAATATATATTCTTCAAATATCTAAGAGGAATGAAATTTCGAATTTTGTATAAAATGCCAGTAATTGGATTGAGCTTTTTTCTCAGGTGATCTATATGTTTAGTCCACGATAATTGTTCATCAATATAAAGACCTAAGAATTTTGTAATATCTAAATATTTTATGGCTTTCTGGCTGAAAAATATTGTTGTTTTCGACATATCAGTTTTTCTTTTTGAAATATACATATACGTAGATTTGTCATAGTTGAGGGTCAGCTTATGAATTTGTAGCCAAGATGATATCATTTTCAAGTCACTTTTTATATCATCAACTATATCGTTAAATTCTTTAGAGGAATAGATTATTGTAGTATCATCTGCAAATAACTTCAGATCTCCTTTTAGTTTCAAAGATGATATTGAATTGATGTAAATTAAGAATAAAATTGGACCTAAAACGGAACCTTGTGGTACACCACATTTGATTTCTCTTACGGAGCTACAAATATTATTGACTTCAACATACTGCTTTCTATTTTCCAGATAATTTTTTAACCAATCAAATATTTTTCCTCATTGTTATTATTATATCCATTTTATTCGTAGTGTTAAGTGTAGGGAAGTGATGTGACATGTTTAGTGGAATTTTGGAATTGTATTCATTGTTTCATTGAAAATACTTTTTTCCAAGTGTGGGACGATAGGTCTCTATTTTAGATTACCTGTTGGCGAACACTCACTAAATGATGTAAAAGGCCGTAGTAATATATCATGGGTGGTCTGAAAACATACCAATATAACTTGTACTGCAGATCTTCTAAGATCCGGCATTATAATGTTCGATTCCACACCTCTCACGTTCCAAAATATAGATATAGGTAATCGCAATCGTATCCATATGAATAACTCAAGAATTTTTTATTTGTGGTACCAAAACGCTGTTGGCGTCTGCTATTCAAATGACTTGCCGACACGTGGCCGGTTGAAATTTGTTTCGGTGACTTGACTTGACATTGCAAATACCTTTTTTGGAAACGTCCTTTACTTGAACATTATTGATACAATAAGGTCATAGTTGAAAATACATGATGCAGATATCCAGTGCTTGCTCGCATGACAGCAGCAATGCTCTAATGATTTTGGTGGCCGAAACGTAATCATCAGTGTCAGTAGAAAAGTGTGAATAACAACGAAAAAAGAAAACATTTACACCTACCGGTTATGAAAGCAGTTTTTTTAAGGGAAGCTCCAAGTATTTACTAACATATTTCAGGGAGTTAGAATTTACTTTGTTTTAATTCTAGTGATAATCACTAATCATCAACTCATTTTCACATATTTTTTTCTGACTACTTGACAAAATAGTCTTCCAAATCCTTCAGTCACACTTTTATTTTATTTAAAACAATTTTCAATTCCAGAGCCGATCCAAGCTTTCCCGAGGTTCAGACAAATACAAGAAAAAACTGATGGATATTGAAAGCCAACTTGTTCTCGTCTCACCTAACCTAGTCTTTAGGATAAAGAACAAAACCACTGGTCGCACGCATACGTTCTTCCTGTCGTCGGATTTTGAACGAACTCAGTGGATCGAGACGATCATGACTCTTCAAAAAACTGAAAGGACTGGGCTTACGACGGCGCCTCCCATAAGCGAACTGCAAACTTGGATAACTGCATGTAGGCAGTTTCTAAAGACCAATATGGGATCTTATTTATTGAGGAGTGGAAATGATGAGAGTTTGTTGGTGGGAGATTTGTATGTATATATTTATGATATGAGCGGTTTGGAGTTTTCTTGTGGTAAGTTGTTATGGTATAATTTTGTGATGAATTATTTGGTTCAAGTCAATACATAGAGACATGTGTGGCAGATTTGGATGAAAAACGCAAAAATTGTGCTATTCATGAAAGCATGAAATTAACAGAAATTGTGCAATATGTAGACCTAAGTAACAAAATGGCAGCCACGCCATTACACAAGCGGACGGTCATTAAAATTGTGTCTTTCAATAGGTCTGTTAGTTCAAATTCTTAAAATTTCAATTTAATTAAATATTGATTAATGATAATAATATTAATAAAGTTTATTCATCATCGCGAAAAGTTGTAGTTGATAGCTAAAATTTAAAGGGACATTTCGTTTTCTTCTTTTTAGAGCATTTATATAAAAGCTTTTTTTTAGTTTTTCATTTTTACTTTTGATTCATTGAATAGCTCTTTCGATTTTGACACAATTTTGGCAATTTATTTCCCAATTTGAAGTTGTTTGGTCTCAAATCGAATGAGTTCATTCTTATTTTGATTGTGTTAATCAACTTGAATGTGAAAATCCCCATTTTGAAACTGTTTATTCTGAATTTGAAAATGATTATTCCCTATTTGATTGTGTTTATTCCCATTTTGAATTTGTTCACCAATTTGGATGTGTTTAATTAAATTGATGTCTCAATTTGAACTTGAAGAGGTATTGTTTCATGAATTTCCTTGCAGTTCGAATTATTTTTTAAGTAAGGTGTGGAAACCAATATATCCGAATCTGGTCATGAAGATTGCACTTGTTTTGACCTGTTTGAACTTGAATATGTAAAAATATAACGGGGTGTTCCATTTGAAAAACAAAGTTTCTGGCACTTCCAAAACCTGAAGTTCGCCATATTCGATTGTAATTTCATCAAATCCAAAATGGTTGCTCACATTATTGCACCAAATTTTAGAAAAATCCGTTTACACATGCAGAAATTACAGGGGTAGCCCGATACCCTGTGTCACCCGGTATATATTATTTGTATATTATTACAAAAATGTAATTTACTTATAATAATCCCTCTTTTTTTATTCAGATATATTCGTATCCATTGAAGTCGACTTCTATGGCCACTTCTTCCAAAAGGCTAAAACGAAATTAGTGTGCAATACCAATCATCCCCAATGGAACGAAAATTTTGTTATCGATTTAGAAGGTTGTGAAAATCTCAGAATTCTAGTCTACCAAGATGGACAACCTAATACCACTCTTTTTGGCAAACTAACTCAGAAACTGAGTAGATCGTGGCTGAATCAGCACGTGACGGAAAAGAGTTATTCAATAAATGGATGTACGTTGAGATTAGGATTGAAATATGTTCCGTGTGAGATCAGCCTAAGAAAAGTACCTACTGGAAAAATTGGTGCCCTATTCGGAGAAAAGATACAGGCAGTGTGCAAGTATGTATTTTCTTTGAAGATATTATTTGAAAATCGATTAAAAGGTTTCATTCTTATTAGTTGAGATATTCCCACATGTTTTTTTTTTCAAGTGAATTACACAATTGACCAGTCTTGACATTTTCAATATTGTTCAATAGAAGCGTCATTTTTCTTAATTTTCCTTTGATTTTGCCCAATTATTGATGATACTATTTTGATAGTTCCATAGCCCCTTCTATTTCCACTACGGGTTGCAAAATGTAGATTACAACAATATAACAGCATGCCCGGAGATCAGTGGAATAATCACATACCACTTGAACCAAAGAGAAATTTTGAAAAAATATAATATGCGATAAAATGAAATATAATAATCTGATAGCCCATATAATTATGTATAAAAATTACCAGATTGATAAAAAAATTTTGTCAAATTTCTCTGTCAAATAGTTACATTAGTAGGCTTCTGAACTAGTACTGAATCTTATTTGATGCCATTATCCAGTAATTGAATTTAAACAGCTCGGTCATAATCCTCTTCACTCAATGTAAATGTGTTTCATAAGTTTGCATTTTGGTGAAGAAATTGAATCAGAAGCAGTGCTAGCCTCACAAAAGTCGCAAATCATTTTACTGTCTGTTCGCGGTTCGCGTCGTTCGGGATTTGGTGATCGACACCCTTGTTAAAATCTTGGTGCATGAGGGAAAGAGGGAATGAATCAACGTACAGTTCAGGTGCATGAAGCACGGCGGTCTTGGAACGCAAAAGTGCTGATCAGTTGCTTAAATGTACTGTAGTGAGCTGTCCGATTACGATGCTGGAAAGTGGCTGATGAGTATAGTCCATCGAAAGTCAGTTGAAGCTTTTGAAGGGGGGAATGTCAACTCCGTGCACCCGCTTCGTTAGAACTTCAAACGGACCAGTAGCCCGCGGCGTTTGTTTTTTTACTGAAGCTGCTCCAATCGACTCTGGAAAGACTATATCTAATATTGCCACGACCTAATTATATGCTACGTGACCCAACATGCGGTAAATATCCGTTGGTAACTCGGCAACTGCGCTCTGCTCTGTCTAACGACGGAATTTGTGAAAAAAGATATGACCATGTTTCACACTGAAACTCCTCTGGTGTGTTGGAAATGAAGCAACTATGAATATCCACATATTTGGCGAGCAATAAATCATGATTATTGAATCACACTACGGCGTGTTACCACAAACCAAACCGATTTTTCAACGTCTCGACACGTGTTTCGCTTACTATGTAAGCATCTTCAGAAGAAGATTAAAACTAAATATCCTATTCTAGAATGCTGCATATACAGGGTGTTCGCAGATGAAACTGACACAACTTATGGGGTTATCGAGACTGCAAAATACCATTTGTGGATATTGATTGTGGATATGATAGCTCAGATTCGAAATCTTGATAACGATAACCTCAACTCAGCAAAAAGCAGTAACGCCAAAAATTTAAAATATTTTACCTTCATCGCATCAAATATTTTTCAAACTGAGCGTCACCAATCAGGTCGATTGACGCGCGACGCGTAAATAAAAATGCTGCATTGGGAGCTCAGCTTCAAGAGTTCCCTGAAAATAAAGCAAGAACCGTATGATAGATCAAAATTTGCTCATCAGGTACTTAAGCACTTCACGAATTTTTCATGATCACTATGGCTGTAAAACTGAAGAAATATCAATGAATGCACGTTGAACTTTTTCTACTGACATATGAACTGATGACTAAGTAAACCCACTCCATATCTCCAGCTACCATAAATCCTGAGTCAAGTATGCACAATATTATTTCAAATAGTTCTTCATGCCACTATTTCACATACAGACATCTAAAGACAAGCTTATCACTCGACATTAAATTTCCAAGATCATCGGAAAATATCCACTGCTGATTAAATGTTAGAATTTGACGTGGATATCAGAATAAGACCGCCATGATTACAAAAACTGCTTAAATAACCAATATTTTATGGTCACCAGAATTAGCCTCAATGCAGAGTTGATTGAACTAGCATAAAATTGAGTATCTTTAGAATGTTAGTTGATAGAATATTTCCCATATTTCTATTTTATTATAGTTGTTGTGCTCAGTATTGAACATATACCTAGTGTTTGAATGTCAGGTTAATATCTAGATTGAACATGATACCTTGATAAGTAGATTTTCAGGACTGAATGGAAAATCAGAGTAGATCTTGAAAAAATTATTGGAGGGTTCTTTTCATAGTCCTTTAAGGATACAGGGCTACGCGTCGGGAGACAACACAACCTGGAGCTGAAATCTACTACTTTTTCCCTTGTATAATAAATAACTATTATCTGGTCAGTTTGTTTTAAGAGTTATTTTTTTATTTTAAGATTGAGGTAAATTATTTGTTCATTTTTTTGGTGAAAAATCATATATTCTGTTTTGTTAGTATTTATCGATAAAAGGTTAGAGTGGAGCCAGTTTTCAAATATTTTCAAGTCTTCATATATCATATTTTCTTAATTTGAAGGATTCTTGCCTTTATATAAAAGTACTGTATCATCTGCATACATGGTATATTTACTGGTGAGACCAATTTCACTGATATTTTGAACATAAAGTAAATATAGTATAGGTCCTAAAACAGAGCCTTGTAGGACACCCTTATTTATTAATAGTTTGTTTGACACAGAGTTGGTTGATTTTGTATTGATTGTCCTATTTTCAAGATATGAATTCAAAATATTTCTCACAGTCCCTGATGAAGTTTACCTGTAATCGTCCTAATTAATATTCGGCTCTGAAGAACAAATTACTTATTTTCTTTATTTTTTAATAATTGTCTGTCTGACAGTCTTATTTATTATTATATTTTTTTTTTTATACAGTCACTTGATGTAGTCAGATTTTTCAAAATATACAGTATGTACAAATCAATTATTAATTATTTGAAACTAAATACAACATTCTCCCCCCAGTAATTGTATCCGCCAAATAACAATTACTTCTTCACGTCTAAAACTATCAATCTTGAAACGTGTCGTCGAAATAAGGTTCCATGCCCATTCTTGACATCAACGATTCGAATTTTTCCATCAGCTGCGGGATAGAGGTTGACTACGATTCCTTTTGGCCATACATTCCTTGGACTATTTGGTTCTGCCATGATCACGACGTCTCCAACTTCAATATTTCTTCTTTCTTGAAACCATTTTGTTCTTCTTATCAAAGTAGGCACATATTCTTTGCTCCACCTCTTCCAAAATGTGTCTGATAACTTTTGTGCAGCTCGCCAACTTGACATTAGATTCAGGTCTTTTTCGATCGTTTTGGTACAAGGTAGTGCCGCATAATTTGGTCCAATTAGGAAGTGATTTGGGGTCAAACTTTCGGAGTCTTCTGAGTCTAGTGACACATGAGTCAAAGGCCTGGTATTAAGAATATTCTCACATTCCGTCAGGAAAGTTCTCAGGATATGTTCAGGTGGGTATCTTGATTTCAAAATTTCTTTCAGGATCTTCTTGACACTTTGTATGAGCCGTTCCCAGCTCCCACCCATATGGGGCGCTAGTGGAGCATTGTAAAAATATTTAATATTTTTCATTGCACAAAATTTCATTATATCATCCTGATTTAATTCTTTCAAATTCTCAGCAAGTTCTTTTTCCGAACCTCTGAGATTAGAACCATTATCACAGTATATTTCTTCGGGAAATCCTCTCCTACAACCAAATTGACGAAGAACATTGATGAAGGAGTTTGTGCTCATATCATGGGCAATCTCAAGATGCACGGCACGAGTTGCCATACATGTGAAAATCACTCCATACCTCTTTTCTCGACTTCTTTTGACCGTTACTTCTAAGGGTCCAAAATAGTCGATTCCGGTCTTGATAAAAGGGCGGATAGTTGGTTCAATTCGACACTGTGGCAACTGTCCCATCATCGGTATTATTGGCACACTTCTCTTTATCTTGCAATGTAGACAATTCCTCCATACGCTTTTCACAGCTTGTCTCATTCTGAGTATCCAAAATTTTTTCCGTAGGTTATTGATAACAATTTCCTGTCCGTAGTGATGAACAGCCTCGTGATAGTTTATGATAATCAGTTTAGTAATTTTATGAGTCGGGTCTAAAATAATGGGTCTCTTCATTTCCATGTCCAATGAAGACTTGTCCAATCTTCCACTAAGCTTGATGAGTCCATCTTCCTCAGAATAAATGCACGTCAGCATGTAAATCCTGCTTTTTGGATTCAATGATCCTTTATTTCTCAAAATATGTACTTCCTGTGGAAACGAGTCTTCTTGAATTTTCCGATAGATTAAATTTTCTGCTTCATGCAGCTCATCTACGGAGAGTTCTTTCTGATTTTTCACTTTGCTTTTCATTATTTTGATAAATCTCAATACATACGCCGTGGATCGTAGTAATCTTTGCCATTTTGAAAATCTTTCTGCATCAGGTAATATCATAATTTTCTTACTGGAATTTAGAAAAACAAATTCTGTTTGTCTCATTTCCAGTGTATCTGAATCAATTTCTGGTAAGTCCTTATTCTCCTTCGGCCATTTTTCTGGTCCAGAAGATAAAAAACCTGGACCATTAAACCATTTATTTTTATCCCATGAAGATGGCCTCTTCGTTGCTTCGTCAGCTGGATTTTCTTTAGAATATACATACTTCCATTCGGACACGTTGGTGATGTCTTGTATTTCTCCCAATCTTTGGGCAACGAACACTTGGAATCTTCTAGCTTCTGAGTTTATCCACTGAAGAACAGTCCTTGAATCACTCCAATAGAATATCTTGGAAAATGTCAAGTTCAAACTGGTTTTCAGAGAGTTTCCCAAGCGAGCACCCAATAGAGCAGCTTGTAATTCCAGTCGTGGAATTGACAAGGGTTTCAGAGGAGCAACTCTTGCCTTAGCTGTCACAAAACAGGTTTTGACTTCCTGTTTATGTTCCACTCGAAGATATACAACGGTGGCATAACATGTTTCTGAAGCATCACAAAATACATGCA